GGGTGTTGGAGGAGCAGGAGGTGTCATGGGTACGAGGTGCGTCAGAGGGAGGAGCGGAGATGTGTGCCGCCGGTGTCGGTAGGAAGGGGGTTGGATGAGAGGATGCGGGAAGGGGTCGGACCGCGATGAGGACTGGCTTCTGTGTCGTCCTCGTCGAGTTTGCCATCTCATAGACTTAGCGTCGCGGTTCGGTAAGCACAATCTGGGTGCCAGTCGGGGGGCATCTTCTCTTCCTCCATCTTGCGTGTCGACTCGTTTTCGCGTCTGTGCGTGTAGAATGATGGCCACACCACGTGCTGAATGCGTGATCGAGAGGCGGAGGGGGCTATCCCACGTGTACTCTAAACTATGCCTCAATTAATCTCATGACAAATCATGTTCGTCTGACCAACGGAGCGGTACAGGCGGCCCGGTGCCCCCTGGCGCGTGTTACTACCACTACGATGCGCCATCCCGCTCATGGCCGCCTATCCTTCCCGGTGCTGGCGAGCGGATAGGACACGCCTCCTAGAATATTGCTGTCGTGTGGCTACGGCTGCATTGTACTGCAGCCACCCGTCGCCGGGTCCGCTTCTCCCTAACACTTATATACTTTGCTGGGAGGAAGAGAAACGAATGCAGCATATGGTTTGTGCACTTTGGTACTGCAGATGCAACGATACAGGTCTGTTTTCGTAGGCGTGGTGTTGCATGTGGTATTGATCGTCAGGCACGGCCATAACAGGCCAGCAAGTCGCTAGCGATTTTAATAACCCTGTAGATAGCACTTGTAGGGTCTTCTCTGCATAAGTGCTTCCGCTGTCGTGTCGTTTGTAGAGTGTTACATGAATGAGGATAGACGCCGAGAAAATCGGCTCTTTTGGTGCCGGCGTTTTGCAACGTCGTCCTGTGTGTTGTGATTTTCAGATTGATTTAATCGGCCCTGCCAAAATGTAAAATTTTTACGATAACTGGTGAAATGGATTGGCGGAAACTAGGCGATTCATTTTGACTGTTGCCAGCAATAGTGTAGCTAGTAGCGGATTTGTAGTATTTTGATGCTAGGATTTGGGTTTTTTTAGAGTAACGAAAATAACTTGCTATACGTATATAAGTATATCAAAAGATGCCAACAAATTTTTCATTTATATGATACGACCTAGTACATAGAAAATGCAAATTTTCTGATGAAGCATCCAGTTAGATCATATCGACTGATACGCCACATATATATTTTTACGATAATTATCACACCGAATCATGTGTTGTTAAATGCCTGAATGTTGATTCTTCAACTAATGGTCATAGGAAATTATTCGAGTTTCCCAATCATGCTGTGGATGTCATATGTATACAAATAATGTTAAATAACATCCATTATATATGTATCATTGAAAGTTATGTTTGATTCACCAATTCTATCACGGTTGTTAGAGTAAAGAAAAATCGTCATGTAAACATTGTCTCTTCTGTTTTCCATACGCCTATTTGTTCCCCCACATCAAATACTATATGTATTTCTTGGCTTGTAATATCTACAGGGCAAAAGAACAGACATATGCTTGCTATTCTCTCCATGAGGGTATTTAACTACATTATTCCACCACGGGGATACTTTACATAAAACCACCTACGGTATGGACAGATATGCAATGTGATGATTCACTTATTGCAGCCATTAAATTCTGCAACACACCCTTTCATTAGTGTAGCCACACATAGGCCTTCAGTGCCGTTATTGGCTGTTCTATGCAAGAATTTAAGAATGGATTGACAAATATTGCTATCGTGTCACGTTACAAACGCACTCACTATAGCAAGTTTAATTCACTTTTATTACAAACGTTCTCGATATATATACATCGTATTTCATAGTCCAACAAGCACTAGTGATAGGGCTGTGTAGATTGTGTTAGGAGGAAGGGCGCGTCTTTAGTCCACCGCAGCTGATTGTGTCACAGTACACGCCCTCCCCACCCTAAGACGTACTGCACGAAGTAATATATTCGGTACGTGCGCACCTATGAACTGTAAATTAAAATCCAGACACAGCTTTTGCGCAATGTCACATCGACTGGCATTTCTCGCCGTTCGTCCTACAACATGACCTAACGAATAACAACGAAGGCTTGCTTTAGCCATATTTAGTTCTGAGAACAGTCGCGATTCAAGCAATAATGACTGAAGAACTCGTCTTCTATATGTGAACTATGCCAGTAAATGCTACAAATCACACTGCAATTAAAGCTATGGCGAATTTTTTGTGCTGGGCTACAGCCTAAAATAGCAATAAATCAACATTTTTACGACAAAGCATTACTCTAGTCACTTAGGTACCAAGCGTTCACCCAAGCCTAACTTATATCAACACAACGATTTCACCGACTGGCTGTGTATATTATGCTTCTGTGTGCGGTGGCGTGCATGCGTGGCGTGTAATGTATGTACGTGGTATGCGCGCCGTCGTCGCACGTATGTGACTTTGGATTTACTTCCTATATACCCTGCTAAAAGGTTTGGGGCTTCTGCCGTCGTTTTCTGACACACCGTTATGCGACAATCAGATGGCAGCACGTGTCACGTTACACCTGCTTCTGCCGATGACATGCCGTTAGCGGTTGTGATGTCCGCACTTCTTAAGCGTAGTCGGCGATAGAACGTATCCCGAATCCTTGCCGGTCAATGGCGACTAAATCCATCACTGAATAAGTGAAGCAATGTGAGAGTTTACAGGCTTTGTACGAACCCAGCGCACATTAGCTTAGAATAACTTACGGCAGCCATTAGGACTCGCAGGGGTGTCAACAATACGGCCGGCGGGGCGGATCTCGCCGCGAATGATTTGATCAGCGCCGCGACATTAGAGCATAAATTCTCTGAGTATGTCCAAAACAAAAAAGTAGAGTCTCTAGCCCATTCCATGTGATCGAGTTATATTTTTTAAAGAAATACCAAAATTGCTCATTCCAGCCAAATGTATTCACTTCAACTCTATTTGAGTGCATTGTTAATGAATGTGGAAATGCACGTTTTATTCAGTATTCCATTGGCCTGATCTGTGAATAAAGTGTTGTGCTAATCATAGATCTTTGTGCGTCCGTGATTATGTAGGCCTAACATGCTAGGCTGAATGATAAAGCATAGTACTTGAAAAACAAAGGCTAAAGATTGCGAGTTGACGGTACGCGTTATTTTTTGCCCATTATTATTACTGGTCCGGCCCACTTGAGATCAGATGCGCGTCAGTGAGGCCCATGAACCAAATGAGTTGAACCCCCTGCTGGAATTAGAGTGTCCATAGCTAATAACACCTTGTCACACTCGTATGTATTATTAGCTCTTGGATGTAGTTTGTATTAGACAAATTCCTTTGCAATATTTTGCGCGCGCCCAGGTGTGTTGTGTGCGTGCCCTTGCGCGAGTTGTGTGCGTGCTCCTGCGTGTGTTGTTATGCGTGCCCTCCTGTTGTGTGTTGTGTACGCGTGCTCCTGCGTGTGTTGTCTGCGTGCTCCTTGTGCTGTTGTGTACGTGCTCTGTGTGTGTACGTGCCTACCTGCCGCGTTGTGCGTGTACGTGCTCCTGTGTGCTTGTGCGTGCTCGCTACGTGCTCCTGGTGTGTTGTTGTGCGTGCTGTGTGACCGTGCCTCCTGCGCGTGTTGTGTGCAGTGCTCTTCCTGGCGCGTGTGCGTGTACGTGCTCCTGTGTGTGTTGCTGCTGCGTGCTCCTGCGCGTGTTGTGTGCGTGCCTCCTGCGCGTGTTGTGTGCGTGGCTCCTGCGCGTGTGCGTGCTCCTGCGCGGTGCGTTGTACCGTGCTCCTGTGTGTTGTTGTGGCGTTGCTGCGGCGTGTGTGGGTGCCTCCTGTTGTGTGTTGGTACGCGCTGCCTGCGCTGTGTTGTGTCGCGTGCTGCGGCGTGCTGTGCGTGCTCCTGTTGTGTTGTGTGCGTGTTGTTGGTTGTGTACGCTGCCCCTGTGTGCTGTTGTGGCTGTGTGCGTTGGCGGTTGTTGCGTGCCTCCTGTGTGTGTTGTGTGCTGCTCCTGGTGTGTGTTGCTGTGCGTGCTCCTGTGTGTTTGTGCTGCGTGCCTCCTGCGTGTGTGTTGTTGCGCTGCTCCTGTGCCGTGATTGTGTGCGCTGCTCCTGTGTGTGTTGTGTTGCGTGCTCCTGTGTGTGTTGTGTGCGCGCCCTCCTGTGCCTGTGTTGTGTGCGTGCTCCTGCGTGTGTGCGTGCTGCGTGTTGTTGTGGCGCTGAACCTCCGTGTGCTGTTGTGTGCCGTGCTCGCGCTACGTGTTGCGTGCGGCTCCTGTATGTGTTGTGTGCGTGCTCCTGCGTGTGGTGCGTGTGTGCGTGCTGCGCTGTTGTGTTGCGTGCTCCTGCTTTTTTTATGTGTTGTGTGCGTGCCTCCTGCGCGTGTGCGTGTACTCGTGCTCCTGTGCTGCTGTTGTGTGCGTGCTCCTGTTGTGTGTGTGTGCGTGCTCCTCCGTGTGTTGTGCTACGTCTACTGCGCGTGTTGTGTGCGTGCTCCTTGCGTGTGTGCGTGTGCGTGTTGTGTGCGTGCTCCTGTGTGTGTTGTGTGCGTGCTCCTGTGTGTGTTGTGTGCGTGCTCCTGCGTGTGTTGTGTGCGTGCTCCTGCGTGTGTTGTGTGCGTGCTCCTGTGTGTGTTGTGTGCGTGTTGTGTGCGTGCTGCTGCGTGTGTGCGTGCTCCTGCGCGTGTGCGTGTGCGTGTTCCTGCGTGTGTTGTGTGCCTGTGCAGGTGTGCCTAAGAGATTACATACGTGCGTGCGTGCGTGCGTGCGTGCGTGAGTGCGTGAGTGCGTGCATTCGTCCGTTCGTTAGTCCATCCGTTCGTTCGTCTGTGCGTGCGTGCGTGCGTGCACGATCTTACGTGAGCATGTGCTGTGATGCAGACTGCACGTGCGTGAAGATAACATCTATAGAGATCAAACAGTATCAAAGACGCTGCGCTATTCGACGACCACGCAGCATCTAGCTGGGATGCTAACGTGGTTCGTATGTATATACGCACCTTGTTCTTCAGGTCCGGTATAGATCCATTCACCATCAGGTGCTTGACAACTGCCATGTGACCGAACAGCGCCGCCGCGTGGAGTGCTGACTCACCGTTCTAAAGATCAAAAGACCATTCGCGATAAAAAAAATTCCCTCCCAGCTGTTAATGTGCTTATATGTGTTTATATTGGTATAGATGTATTTATATGTGCTATATATGTATTTATATGTGCTATATATGTATTTATATGTACTTATATGTGCTTATCTCTCACCTCTAGCGCTCCCAGGTTGGCCCCGTACTTGACGAGTTCTTCCACGCACTCTAGGTTGCCCTTGTGCGCGGCCTTGAACAACGGAGTGGCGCCATCCTGCGGCGGAAATAAGCCGTGTCAAACAAGGTGTATTTATTCGGAATACAAAAACGCAGCTAAACACCCCCCCCCGTCCCACACAACACACACACACAAAAGCCATGCTACGCCATGTGAAGGTAAGTTCGCGAAGAGCATGATTATATATATACGGGGCGACAAGACGCATTTTTACCGGAGGATTAGGGTTTGGATTAGGGTTAGGGTTATGGTTTAGGGTTAGCTATAGGTTATGGTAGGGTTTAGGATTAGGTTAGGCTAGCAGTTCAAGTTTAGGTTTAGGCGGAACCTTAGCGTTAGAATTGAGGGTTAGCGTCGTTATGGTTAGGGTTTAGGATTAGGATTAGGTTAAGGTTAGTTTTTAGGATATAGGATTAGGTTAAGGGTCTTATGGATATAGGGTTAGTTCTTCTAGTTTGTTAGGGTTAGCGTTGTCCTTCATCAAAGAACAGCATTTTGACATGCGTATGATATGACTAGAGTTGAGCGCGATATAAGAAAATAGGCACGTTTGGTGCGTCATTCAGCCGTCAGCCGTGTCACCAGCCATTCTGGCCCTTGAACAACAGTGCTATCAGCATCAAGCGGCTTCGGCACGGGGTGATCATGTGCACAGCCTTTATGGCCGCCTGTAAATCACAGGTTGTGTGGACGCCTCGTCTGCACTCTACTTCTAGAGAGAGCACATCGCAAGCCGGTGTCGCTGCAACAGCTGCTAGTGACTGAAGCACAATGACACAGCTGCGTCGCGCGCTTCACGCGGGCAGAACGCCTTCGCCTTGGCCTCCATAGGCGTGCTACAATGTAGCATTGAGGGACCTAGCTCAACACTTCCTACAGCACACTTCGTTTTGTGGGCGTAGTACTATGTACATGCGAGGAACCTATAGCCTTCTAACACTTGTGGAACAGAGCCGGCCTTTCTTCTGCTGGGCGTAGTACATGTAGCATTGAGGTAATGTAATACCATTTTACAGACACCCGGCTCCCTGTGTAAGAAGCCTATTAGGTCTACATGTAGGGCATTGAGGACCAACTGATGTTGTTACAGAACACCATCCATTCTGTGGGCGTAGTACCATGTAGCATTAGAAAGGATAAACTAACCTTCCTACAGAGCCCCTTCCTCTCGCGGTACGGCGTAATGCGGCCGACCGACATCACCTCTCTGCAGCAGGTCGACGTCGAGCGCTTCGAAAGTAGTTCCCATGACGATGGCGGGCGTGGCCCATCTGCCAGCTGATCCAGCACCCGACTCGCAACCCGTCTCTACGCTTATATTTTTAACACAGCGAGAAAGAAAGATGGCGTCACGTGAAAGCATGGGTGGTGGCGGTTGCGATCGCGAGGAGTCGGGCGACACGATAACTTTTATTTTAAGCAACGCGGCTGTCTCAGTGCTGGCGTTCTCACAATTCGTTTGGCATAACTTTAAAGAAAAGTGATGATGCGAAAGAGTTAGGTGGCCATGCGCGAAGATGATGCCGCTGGTTTCGCTGGCTAACATGAGCAGCGGAGCAGATTACAGCCACTTAGATGTAACGAGTTGGCCATGTTTTTCTTGCGTGGCACGAACACCCAGGGGCGGCGTGCTATTTAGCGATCGATGGCGTAATGGGCGCGCCGTCGAGAAAGAAAAACTAGAATTTAACGATAGCTTTTAGTGGGCGATACTCATGTCGAGTGAAATCAATTAACCCACAACGCAGCCTAAAGCGTGGCGGAAGAGAGATGTTGGGAGACCGAGAGAAAGTGTGTGTGTGTGTGTGGGTCGCGTGTGTGGTGTGTGTTGTGTGTGTGTGTGGTGTGGTGTTTGTGTGCCGCGTAGGCGTGCGTGCTGCGATGCGTGGCGTGCGTGCGGCGTGCGTGCGGTGCGTGCCCAGGCGGTCGGAGCGTGCGTGGTAGAGGTGGGTGAGAGATGAGACGAGAGAGAGAGAGAGAGAGATAGAGAGAGAGAGAGAGAGAGAAAGTGCGCCATGTGCGTGGAAGGGGGAGAGAGGAAATAGAACGGGGAAGCGAGAAACAGGCATAACAGAGCGCACGCGGCCTCGCGCAGCTCGCGCGAGAGAGAGAGAGAGAGAGAGAGAGAGAGAGAGAGTACGAGAGCGCGAAAGAGAAAGGGCGGAGGCAGGAAGGAGGAAGAAGGAGAGAAACATGAGGGGCGAAGTACACTTCTGATCTGTCTATATCCAACTCCATCTAGTTCAGCAGATCTGGCCCCGCCTGGCGGCGATTCATTTGATTGGCGACATATGAGCGCCACGAACACAAGCATTCGATTGTCAGGCGACTGACGCTCTCTTACTTACTTTGGCGCTGGTGATTGAGCTTTCGTCCCTTAGATATGAGGTATTTCACGAGCTTCAAGTGACAAGTTCTGACTGGCGATTGAACAGAGTCGTGGGCTCCAATATCCTAGAAGCACAGCAAGGAGAGAGTACGCGAGATATATCGTAGGAGCATATAACCGTCGCGAGAGAGAGATAAACGACAAGAGAGAGAGAGGTGAGAGAGGAAGGGAAACGGCACGCAGCGTAGACGGAATATATAGCGAGGGAGAGAGAAAGCGTGAGCGAGGCGAATATAGAGAGGGAGATGGAAAAGCGCGAGCGAGACGATAGGGGAGGAGAAAGAGAGTGGATTCACTCACGAAACGAAGGGATTGATAAAGAGAGAGAGAGAGAGAGAGAGAGAGAGCGCGCGCGCGAGAGAGAGAGAGTGATCGAGCGCATGAAAAAGATAGAGAGAGAGAGAGAGAGAGAGAGAGAGAGTGAGCGCGCGATAAAGGGCAGGGTGAGTGAGACAGACAGCCATGTATAGCAGACGACTGCGGTACTTCTCGAATACCGACCAATCGATAGCAAACCCGCGCAAGTCTCCCAACAAACGCGGATTGCCGAGAGTTTTATTCCCGCACAGATAACGACTACAGACAGCAAATCATGCAACGCAATTTAATCACGTAAAGAACTAGCGAAATCTATCAAACTATCGAACTATGTAAAGAACTAGCGAAATCGTAACCCAGCGACGGTCGGAGACGGACTTTAGAGACGTCGGAAACGGACTTTAGAGACGTCGGCGGTGGCAGCGGCGTCTGCAAGGCTGCTCGTAACATGCGGATGTGAAGACGAGCGGAGAGGAGATGTGTGATTATGGGTGACTCATGCGGAGCCGCGCTTGTCCGTCGCTCGCTGCGCGCTATCGCTCTCCAGATTCCCGGTTATTAATTACTCTAATGTAAATATCGCTAACTGTGTGCTGTGTGCTGTCCTTGGCCCGCCCGCGCTTCGTGTGTGTGTGTGGGGGGAGGGGGAGGGGGAGTGCATGCATAGCGACGTTACGCTCTGAATTAGTACGTGACGAGTTTGTCAATATTGGTCGCATACGCGACAATACGCGAACTTCTAGACCAGAAAGTTAATATGTTTCGTTGCACGTCTAGTTGGACGTTTCGTCTAGAGAACAATGACTGCTGCAGTTTATTCCTCGTTCTGTATCATAATTCGCAATATTTCCGTGCGTAGCTAGGACGCCCTGTGAGGGGGTATAAAGCGAGGTGATAGCGAGAATGGTAAACGGGACACACGAGGAACTAACTATAGACGGGCCCCGTCATCGTGTTGCAACGGTCACTGACGGCGCACGGTGGGACACTTACGGCCATCTCGGCATGAATATCCGCCCCTCGCTTCAACATCTCTTCCACGACTTCGATGTGATTGCACTGGCAGGCTACAAACAGCGGTGTGCCTCCATCCTGTAACGACAACGTGGCTGATAAAACCCGACGCGATCACGCCGCCCCCTGGTGGGAGGTTGTAAGACTAACGCATGGGCAAGAAACGTGTTGGTAACCAACCATTGCTCCACATACAGCTAAGCTAGAATTGCGATAGTGTGTAGAACGTACGCTGTTCGTAATGATTAAGATGCCTTAGGTAACCTTTCTTTAAATATACTCGAGTTCTTAACTAGAACATAGTATGGCTAAAACTACCAATTAAGAATTGTTTCAGTAGTCCCCCCACACCCTCCCGATGGCAGCACAACTCCGCGGGAAGTGTGGAGATTTATTTTACACAGGGAGACGGCGGAGTCTGTGACCCCCTCGGTTGAACCCATAGAAAAAATATAGGTGTCTCCATAATTATATTTCTATTGTTGAGCCCCGGTAGATGGGCAGGAGTCGACAGCAGCAGTAGTAGTATGTACGTACGTAGCTGGCCGTATCTATGGTCGTCCCGCTGTCCAGTAGCAGTCGAACGATGTCGATGAAGCCTCCTTGTGCCGCGAAGAACAGCGCACACGTTCCCGTCTATACAAACATATAACCCGTCACGTGAGATTTACCGCAATTTACGCAGATCAACCTGCAGAGAATAACCGCGTGTAAGATTAACTGTTACACGCGCCGCACAGAATAGTTCCAGCAAACTGCAACTTTCATTTCATAACTGCTCCAGGTTGGGTAAGTCGATAAACGACACGTGAGGGATTCACTAGGAGGGTTCACATGACCTCAGTGGCTCACCAGAGCACGTATATTATACAGATCATCAGCAGATATGCGTGCTCTGAGCTCACTGCCTTCATGCGTCGATACACGGCCATGATTCAACCCGACAAGAAAGCGGCTTGA